AATGTTCCAGCCAAAGTTACACCCTTGATTTCAATATTTATCTACATTCAACATTCTCATTTATTATCATTCAACATTTATTCAATATTTCTCAACATTTATTGTCATTAAATGATATGTTATAAACATGTCAAGCAAATGATGTCCAGTCATTCCCAAGTATTTTTCATCCAGGAAATAGGCCTATTTTCATACTTAGAAGTTTCTTGTTTTCCAGTAAGAATAATAATAAAATGAAAACGCATACAAAAACGCACAGGTCATTTTTTGAAATTTGAAATGCCTTTGCGTTTCCACTAGGGGCCAGTAATGAGTAATTCTATTCTTGGCACACAAACGTGCACATAAAAATATAGAATAATACAAAGCTGAAATGATCAAAACTAACATTGAAATTTCTGTGACAATTTTATATAAATATACATAATTATAAACTTCAGTGTTGTGAGTTAAAAGCTAAAGTAGACATCTAATAAATGTTTCAAAAACTATCCGTGACCCTGTAATGGATAAGGGGTTGGACGTGGATGGATGGGACTTAAAAAAAAAGAAAAAACCCTATCAAAATATTTCTGTCATGTACTGACCTTGAGTCTCTCACATGAAGATATGTGTCAGCACCATGATGCAGATGAATGACCTGTACTGTTTATGTAGCAGATCATTCTGAAGTTTGATGAACGGCATAGCTTGACCCTGAGAAATATATAAATTCCTCCCCTCAGGAAAAACATCTGATGTCTCTGTGCTTCTCTTGGGAGCGTAAACACATCCGCTTAACGTGAGAATGGAACAGGGACTTGGCTCCCATTTTTTGGTTTAAAAAACTGGGGAAAATACAAAACAAAAACAAAATGCATCCACTATAGCAGTGCTTCCCAATCCGGTCCTTGGGGACCCACAGGCAGTCCATGTTTTTGCTCCCTCCCAGCAACAGAATTTGCATGAAGCAAAAAATGTGTACTACCTGTGTGGGTCCCTGAGGACCGGATTGAGAAACACTGCACCATAGGCTTGTAAAAGGAGGTACAGGATGGAAAACAGGACAAGCTTCTGGTCTGCTTGGGTTGGTCCAGTCTGATGGGGCAATGGATAAACAGGAAAGTAGTTTCTGCTGAATGAAGGGGTCTGTCTCCTGACGCTGCCCTGCCCTGCCCGCGCACACACACCCTCCCCACGTTTCACACTGTTATTTTTTCCTGTATTAGTCCTTTCATTCTGCCTCCGAGGCTTCAGATTAACAACCCTGCAGAATGTCACCCTGGCTTAATGCACATGGCGGATTAGGTTTTACCCCATTAATGAGCTCACGGCCGGTCGCAATAAACACTGAATCTGCAACATGTGCATTGGGTTTGATGATATCTTTTGCCCACTCAGATGATAGAGCCAGAGTAAAAGAAATCAGCAGATGAAAAGTGCTGTAAGGTATGTGTGTGTTAAATTAAGTACTGGGAGTGACATTGTATATTTTTCAAAATCCCTATATTATCTTAGGGTGACCACCTAATCCATGTCATCAGGGATGTATGAGCTAGGACAGGGTTTATAAACTACCGTTTTAATTAAAAGGACCTAGATTTCACTTAAGCACTGAGTTCGTACTGTGTGCTGATTGGTCAGTCTCCTGTAATCATGCATGTGACACTGTTAATGTGAAACAGCCGGATGAGTCTTTCAATCAAGGAAACAAACCGGTAACCGTGCAAGAAGAACTGAACTATTCAGCCAAGCACAGGAGCCTTTCAGTTTTAAAGTAGTTTGTTAAACCAGAAGTAGCTCACAGTGTCCCCCCCTGACATGGATCAGGTGATCAATCTATATTAGTTCCCCATCAGGGACAAGATGAGAGAATCTCATGCGAGACTCAGGAAGTCAAAGTGCCGGAAGTATAGACCGGGCAAGCTAAGGATTCGCCATTTAAAATAACAGCAGTCAGTTCTAATGACCATCCAGAGTGATTAAAGGCTCATTTTTGGAGGGAGCTGATTAATCTGATTTTTCAGGGTTTTCTTGGATGGATCTGGCCAGGTAGCTCAGGGGTCACACACCAGTCACCAGGCCAGTGCAATATACTGTGAAACCTGGAAAGTGCCATGAATGTCAAAACAACAACACTGGCAAAAATTTAAATGACCTCTTATGTGAAGACATGGAAATTATTTGCATGGAAAATGGTGCTTACAGAAAAGTAAATATGAATTTGATACAAAATGTGTCTATGGAAGCACAAATAAAAAAGCAATGGTATCAGATGTATGAAGAATATTTTGATAATGAAAGATTACAATAGCTCCTTCTGCATTGCCACTTTCCCCATCGCGGCCTTGATACACCGCAGGGCTGGAATAACAAATTAAATGGGAATTTTTTTGGGAGTTTTGCAAAAGCCACACACGACATGCGAAGGCCAGCAGATGACACACAAAAAGTTTAGTAACTAATAAATGCATCAAATATATAGTGCTGATTTTTAGAATTCCAAGTGTTTTTATCGCAGCCTTTCATGTCATATCTCTCAGTGATCTCGGAGTCATCTTTGTATGTCACATTTCTTTGCTCAGCATGCAACCCTAACTCCTGTGACGTGGAAGGATCAACTGTAACAGGTTTAGTACTCTAGCTGTTTAAGACTGAGGACTGAGAAAGACACAAATAATACAGACAATTCTTTTCATTATGGACAATGTTGCTGCCCAGTTTATTGTTCGGTACAAGGCATGAAGAGGCATTAAGTGACACCTTGGTGAAATCATATCCATTTATTTATCCAGTTTCAGTAACAGACCATGAAGTCCAGGTCATGTGACCCAGAGCCTATCTAGGGAAGCAGAAAATGCCAGTCAGGGTGATGTGACCCAGAGCCTATCCAGGGAAGCAGAAAATGCCAGTCAGGGTCATGTGACCCAGAGCCTATCCAGGGAAGCAGAAAATGCCAGTCAGGGTCATGTGACCCAGAGCCTATCCAGGGAAGCAGAAAATGCCGGTCAGGGTCATGTGACCCAGAGCCTATCCAAGGAAGCAGAAAATGCTAGTCAGGGTCATGTGACCCAAAGTGTATCTGAGGAAACATGGAGTGCTAGTTGGGGTACGCTCTGGGTGAGATGGCAGCACACGGCATGTGCCTCTTGTATAACTGGTCACACTGCAAGCCCTGCTCATGGGGGGCTTGCATTCCTTTGTCCCCCTCCCCTCTCCTTACCTCAGACATTCATGTCTTTGTTGTAGGCGGCTTAGGCAGGTAACCAGACGCCCTGAGGGGGGGTTGAAAGTGGGGAGGGTAGGTGGGAGGGGCAGAAAATCCCACATGTCACCCCACCCCCACCGAGAAGAGCAGGGGCACATAATGACCTGATCCACCTCTCTAAGCCCCAAGGAACAGTGCGTGTGTGTGTGGGGGGGGGAGCTTCAGCCTTTTATTGACTCACACTAGAAACTGTGTTAATCTGAACTCTGACGGCATAAACTCAGAGGCTCAGGTAACTGAATCTCAGCAGTTCAGACTGAAACTGAATCTGTTTGTATGAAGAAAAATCACCCTGCAGTCATACTGATTCATTTCAGTACAGCAGAGACTAAACAAACAAAACAAAAACGAAAAACATCTATCAACTTAAATACTCCATCCATGTCCCAGCCACCAACGAGTACAGGCTCACAGTGTCCCTGAAGCCTATCCCAGCCTGCATAGGGCACAAGGCAGGGGAACACCCAGCACCCTGGATGGGATGCCAATCCGTGGCAGGATAATTAACCTTAATAATACCCTGATTTAAGATTTTTTTTCAGCCCTGATTTTTATGAACACTATAACCACCTTATTTTTGCATATCTATACAAGTTACAGTTAGATGTAAAGTATTCCTAAACCTAACTGAAACTGCTGACCACTGCCCTGCTTCTGTTAAGATAACAAGTGAATCATTGTAACGTCGGTTGTGACATGTTAGACGGTGAGGTACGTTCACCTGACCTTCCCTCTCCAAGGACACACCTGCGGCATTCGAACCCGATACATTTCAGCCAGAGTTTTGGCCGCAGTTTTTTTTTAACTCCACCCTTGGCCTGCTGTCACGCTGGTAGCCCACGGAGAGAAAAGGTCCTGGGGCAAACTGTCCAGCTGACATCTACCTCCCCATGAACAAGTTACTGCAGAAGCTGCCATTGTCGGCATATTCAGTGTCTCCTAAGTATGACCTGACAAAAGCTCACAGGATGGTGCAGCAGTGAGATTCATTTGATCTCATTTTAAAACACAACTGTACAAATACTGTACTCATGGCCTATACTGCTATTAGTTAGTTCAGTAAACTCCCCATAGTATAAAACAGGACAAAGTTTTCAAACACAACATGGGACAAAGTCACTCAAGCATATAAACAATTTAAACAGTGCGACTGTTCCAGTGAAAGCAGATGGCTGTGAGTATATACAAACAGCGTTTTGTGACGGGAGACAGCATTTTGGGCCAAACCTGGACTACATATGTTGCTTTAAAGTTATTTTTTCATGCCAAACTGTAAATTATTACTGCAAACTTGCCTAAGCAGATAAATTTCCATAGATGTTTTGGTGACAACATCTCCCGCTCAGAAGCCATAGAGCAAGAAAAAAAACAGATAACTTTATACACTGGTTAAGTGAGTCTGTTGAGGAGAAAATATACAAGGATAGTCTTTAAATAATGCGAATAGCTACGAGCCAATCCAATCAGCATCAAAACCTCTCCTGAGTCAAGATCATCCATGGCTCACACTGACGGACGCACTTGATCTATTTTACTTAATCCTTGACATCCCATAAAGATGTCCTCTTGCCCTGAGCGCAACAGCGTGCCAGAGATTCACTGAAATTCCCAGTGACCGACTGAAATGAGCACAGATACGGTCAAGGAGGTCAACATTATTTTCACAACCAGTGTTTGATTTATGCACGGCAATATTCTGAGATTCAGCACACGGCCCTCGAAAGCACATACTGTAATTGCAGAAACTAATCCCAAAATATTTCAGCCTGCCTGGCTCCTTAATCTTTCACTGCACATTAATTCTTCATAACTGCCTGGCCAGCCGTACTGCGCCTGGACACGGTCACAAGCAGCTAGGGGGGAAAAGCACTGTAAAGTTTTACAATTACTTTGAACCTCTTGTCGAAATTACATTTTTTTTTGTTAAAGTCAAAAATATTTTAGACTTGATGACCATGAGAAATGGTCTCTGCTTTCCTCAATCAAATAAAATTCAAACAAATTCAGTCTGAAGCTTTTAAAGATCATTGGTATTTAATACATTAATAACACTAGCAGATGATAATTTTAAGGCCGGGGATAAGTACAGAAGTTGCAAATAAACAATTTTTAATGTTGAATTAACTACAAAGTCAATTTTAACCAATTGTATGCTATATATTCTACAAGCCATAATTCACACAATCACACATAAACACCCTTTAAAACAGCAAAGATTGAACATTTAAATAGATTTTTTTTGCTACAACTCGAAGTTTGTGCAGTAACAAAGTAAACATTGCTTAAAATGTTGTATTGCATGAATGTATAGTTATAAATATTATTTGGATGAATGAAATGCCCAGCCATAGCTGAGGCCTGATTCTGCCTAGGATACATCCCATGTTATTGCCATGTATCACCTGACTGTAAGGACAGGTGTCATGGAAGGAGGATTACTGTGGATCTGCACCTTGGAGATTTTTCTAATAAATGGATTTATCTGTGGTTGTTTTTCAGCTGACTATTAAAAAATGTCATAAGCAACATTTATAAAAAATGTAACCCTGGTCGTGCCTTGTATGCCCTCCCCCCCCGCCAAAGTCACCAAGGATACGAAGCCCTGCAACAGACGGGGTGCACAAAGTGCCAAGAGAAAAGCCCATCTGAAGCTGGCAAAGCTTTGCTACACGAATGACATCAACCCAGTCCACAGGCAGCAAAGGCTTCTGGGACGCGAAAGCTTCATAGCATGACTCAGCAGAATGACGGATGACAGAAACGTCTCTGAAGCACTAAACATGAAGAGGGGGAGTAACAATATACATATTCATTCATTTCATATGGGGCATGCACCACTCCACTAGCTGACCAGTATAACATAACGATACGTGACCAAAAACAAATCCCTCTGATGTCATGGGACAGTATAAAACAAATTAAACATTTTTTTCCTACGTCACTGAATAACCACCAACCGTTTCAAAATGCAAATTTCATTTCGTTTTGAATTTCATTTTCAGCCTGGTTTGTTATCCAATAACTGCTAGCAAGCCTTTTCTACGGAGACAGACAGGCTGAACCCCGTGTTGGACATGAACGCACACACTGTAGCTGTTAAATGATTTGAATAGGAGCGCGTTCTACGTCTTAATTCTGTATTCTATCTGCATCTGTGCTCTTTGTGTTAATTTCCCTTGGACTATCTGGTGGAGGAATATGTTTATATAAGACGCTGATATATCCTGGAAGATCTGAAACCAAACAGCTGAAGTCACAAATCCCAGGAAGAAATAAAACACACCAAATAACACTTAGGCCTACACAGTGTTAGCGAGGCTAGAGGAACCATTTAAAAAACAACACGCCACTTGCTTTTATGTCTTTCCTGTGTGAGGTAAGCTGCCATGTATCCAGACATATAGAATAGGCTTAATATGTTTTACCGTGAAATCCATAATCAGGGATTGTCAATGTAGTCCAAATACACCAAAATCATATTACAATACACTCATTTACTTTTGTAGACATGCATGATGTATATGGTTAACATACAGGTAAGTAATTCTGTGGCAATTTTAACTGGCTTTAATAACTTCTCTGCAGCCAGCTAAATCAGGCTACATTTCAGTTTCAGCCTTGCAAATAAGAATCTAAACATGAATAACTTAGGATACAAATAGAAGAAGCTGATTTGTCTGTTACATTTAGCCAGTGTTAGTATTTGCAGGTAGCTAGTGTGCAGTTATATTTAATATTATACAGCAATTAACACCCTAATAGTGCTTCTTACTTTACCACAGAAGACACGGGCTATTGTAAGGTGAGAGTCTTAAATTCCCCACTATCATTTAAGAAATAAAATTAGCCCTGTTAAATTCACACACCAGTAACACAGGCGCCTTAGTCCAAAAACTCATCCTATTTATAAAGGACAGGTTTTAGGCTTACGCGTAAATTTAAAAGCAATGGCTGTAACTTCCAAGTACTTTCGAATACACAATTTTATTATGGATTGTTTAAAATTCTACTTATCTAACTATAAAGGGGTAACTAGCAATGCTACTTAATATTTCTATAACCATAAACGGAGCTGGGGGGTGCATGGTGGTGGGAGGAGCGACTTGTAGGTCCAGGTGTTAGTTCTGCAGTAACTCCGCGTCAGATAAGCGCAGGGTTTTCTGAACGCATCGCCTTTACGAGACCGCGGTCCCTGTTAAGCATTAGTTATACTTTTATTAAAGGTGCCTTTGCGAGGCTTTTCCGGAATTTAAGGAGAGCAGTTGCGGTCGGATCGCCGGTGGGCTCGCCAGGCTTAATGGTACTTTTCCTGCGATCCAACTCCCGGCTTCCTCCTTCTCCTCCCACCACCACCTCCTCCACCACCACCACTCCGAACATCGCCAAGTCACCGGAGACGATCGCTTCTCCGCCAGGCCAGACTTTACACGACCGGGAGGTTGAAAAAGGCACCGACGAAGTGTGGAGGGGTTAAAGAGACGGAATAAAAAAGAGAGAATGTTTAAAAGGAGCAAAAGCCAAGTGCTGGTGGACGACACGCCAGAGGAGGACGAGGAGGTGCAGTGGCATCGCCGGCACATGGACGTGGTAAGGCGGCCGTTAAAAGGCGCTGGCCGCGCAGAGCCAGACAAGACGACAAAGAACTAAGAACGGCGATTAGTTGTTATATTGTTTTAAAGTAAGCCACAAAACATTTAATCGGAAAATAATCGGTAAGTAAAGTCACACGTAAATTCAGGCGAATTGTAAACTGATCTTATTTAAATAAACACTTCTAGTGTTGCATGCTTTATGTTTGCACTGTTAAACAATGCATTTTTATAAAAAAATAGGCGTTTAATTAATGTAAAACGAGACCTCGGCGTTTAGGTTAACTTGTTTAAACAGTAATTACCCCGCATGCGGTACCTGTGCGCAGCGCCGTCCGGGACCGTGAGCTCCTGTCCTGGACGTTTAGCATTTTTTCCACAAATTTGGGGTTTGATCCGTGTTTATTTCCGATGGGCTGCTTTCCAGCTGATTTACAAGAGATCAAATGGAAAAAGGCGAATGACTCCTTACGCGTTAACCACAAGCGCCCGCTTTGATTGTAGCTACTTTAGTAACAATAACTTTAGTGTTGCCCTATAATCCGCGTAATCGCCAATGCACAGACCCGGGCACAAGGTTTAATGGGTTGCAGTTTTTTGCTTTTTCTGCTGTCGAACACCTTGTTTGTATTCAACAAATGTTATAAATCGTGAATTGGGGGTAACTTTTTGTAGGCGATGTCACCACATCAATCAACCTGGTCTTCCCCCCCAAACTCTCACCGGTAACCACTTATTTGTCTTGTAATCACCCTGATTTCTAGGTGTGAGATGGTACATAAAAGCAGAAAGAAGGATTTTTTTGTGGTTGGTCTGACATAAACACGACTACGCCACTGATAATGATTAAACGTTAAGGTAAAAGTTAACCAGACCACAGATTTTCTTCTGGTTTACTGACATCCGTACACCGTTATATGTAGTTTATTGTTTTACGCTTTAATTATTAATGATATCGACCGTGAAAGAGATGGGTGTGGGGATTTCTTGACGGTCAACTGGAAACTAATGAGCAGTAGCTAAGAACTGTTTTTTTAAATGATTTTTTGCTTTTCATATTTTCACAGCACACACACACACAATTAGTTGTTATAGTCTCTCAAATTATGGAAAATGGAATGGCCAATGGTTCCACCTAGAATCAAGTCTAAAATAAGCAGCACTGCTGACGTCCTGACAGTAAGTGCTTCACATTAGGGATTCAGGACAGGAGGAGGAGTGAATCTTGCCGTAGGTGTCTAGTATACTGACTGCGTTTTGAAGCCAGTCCTCAGCCAGCTGTAATTTCTTTGTCCTGCCCGTGGTTGGTGCCCCCAGAAAACAAGGAGCTTTAAGGAGTTTAAAAAGTCAAGATCACAATCACAATGTCAAGAGTATTTTCAAACGTAACAACGAATAGGCCTACTGTTATGTGCACAGACAACAAAAAATTATTAATTGGTTTTACAAACAGGACATACAGTTCTGACTATGAGCCAAAACCGAATCAAATTATTGACGTAAGAAAGTGTTTGGAAGGGGGCCAGAGTTTTTTTTTTTCTTTTTCCTCCCCCTTTAATGTCCTTCATCCTTTAAATAAAGAGTATTAAAAGTCTGTGCTCTTTCACTCCTTTCTGCACTTCCACTTGAAACCTTCTACCAGACTTAGTATTTCTAACTGGCTGGTCGAAGTTGTTGAGCACAGGTTAGTTAGCAATGCGCCTCTCCGTGCCAGGCTTTCTTGGGTGTTTTTTTTTGTTGTTGCCATATTTCCTTAAGCTTGCAGAATCTTCTAGAATTCCATCTGGGTGAGTTGAAAACATGAAGGCCTTGGAAAGATTAATACTTAGAAGTCACCATCGTGGAAGAATGTAACCGTTAATCTCTAATGGAAACATTTTTAAAAAACACAAATATTTTTCGGTCAAAGTCAGAGTATACCCTAACTATACTACACACTTAACACGATTATTTTTAGCAAAGTCATTTACATGCAGATTAACCACGCTGACTAACTGAATGCCACCAGGAGATGCAGCAGAGCTGGTTGAGATTCTGTCTGTTTGATCTCTTAAGCTGATTTCTGTTTTGATCTTCTCTGGTGCTGGTTTCGGGCAGGTGATGCACCAACACGTCCAGACGAATCCAAAAACCACCCCCTGCCCTCCTAGAACAAAAGAGGTGTATCCCCAGGCATATCTGTTAGCTCCTTACGATATTTTTAGCCTCTGCCTGTTAACTTCTGATGGTAAAAATCATCTGGTGGTGCGGTCGGCTTCTGTGCTTTCTGTAGAGGTGGTTTTGAACCGGGTCCTCCTTCAGGTGTTTGGGCAGTGGAACATCTGAGAGTCTCTGCCGTGAAGAAAACACGGGAGCAGATGACGGACAAAGCAAAATAATTAGAAATGCCTTTTTAAATTGTTGGCCGCAAGTCAAGATGTGTTCTAGGGTCAACAGGCAGACGAAAAGGAAGTGAGTGTTTTTTTGATCTTCCGGCTGATGGAGAGGTAAATCACTGTGTGTTTATGCCTCACAGACCTGCAGTGTCGGTTGTTTTCACGTGCATTTCAGGCTGTGGTGAGCTGTGGCCACTGACAGAACCAGGCCCCCTCTAGTTGTGGAAGGACCTGTTTACATGGCGTGTCCCAAAATACTCCTGCACAGGAAGGCAGTTGTGCTCTCTCTACTGATAATTGGTTCCTCACTGGCCTTCTGTGGGCTTGTTTCTTGCAGGATAAGGAAGAGGATGGAGAGGATGAGGAAATCGCAAGCCCAGCGTCAAAGGTAAACACAATCTCAAGCTTGGCAACACAAGGTTGGGGGGTGGAGTCGTATATTTATTTTTTTTTGTCGTAAAAACAGCACCATTTACCCCACAGTTCCAATTGCTGGATGTCTCATCCTGCTGAACAGGCTCCTGTCCATGTGGGAATGTAAGATCCATTGTGGCTCACAAAGGGAGCCTCAAACATAAATAATTCAAACGTGCATATTGCCCTGGTACCGATGGGTAACCGGTATATAGTGGTGGAAGCCAGTCGGATGCCGTGGGCATCCCATAAACGTGAGATGCTGCTTCCGTGGCAACTGTTCAGGATGAAGAACCCCAGGGCAAACTCGTTTGAGCGGCGCTTTAAATCCCGGTGCCACCCCAACCCTGCAGGAGATGGCAGGTTGGTAATTTTCCACGGCATGTTGAACCACTTTCCTTCTTTGGGGGGGGTCTTTAAACTCCACCCCTGTGAAATTTTCTGCTGGATCCCCTCTGGCCTGTAACGCTTGTGTGTTGCAGGTGTGTAACATCCACTTTTGTCTATTTCACACATGCTTCTCTCTAAGGTATCTTGCAAGTCTGTGCAAATAATATTGCACCGAGTGGCTGACAAACTGCATCCGCATTAGGTGCAGCCTTGCATGCAAGCAGGCTCGGTTTCCATGTGAGGGGAAAAAAAACAATGCTTCATATACACACAGTGCCCAAGGCTAGATATATTAAACTGTCTTCAATCCCCAGGCAGCAATACTAGATACACAAATAATCTCATAACACAGCCGGCGACCCTGAGATAAAGATATGGTAAAGAGAGCATTCTCTGAAGGCTGAGGGGAGGGAGCGTGGCCTGAAGGGGGCGTGATTGTCGAGGTATGCATGGGTGCAAGTGAGTACAGGAGCAAACGCATGGCTGGCTGAGAATGTTAAACACTCTGCCAGGCTGACACACCTTGACTTTTTGCTTCTTTTAATTAATTTATGGCAGCATTGAGGGCAGAATGTTTTTGTCTTCATAATTTCACTTGATTTGAATTGCTTTAATGTAACGATACCCAATTTTCCCCTGAAAACAAAGTCGGCTTTAAAAAAAAAAAAAAAAAACTGCGCTTGTGAGTGGCAGAACTGGAACAGCAGATTTCTATATTAGCCCATCACTAATACACCGGGTTCAGCTAATCAACCTGTAGTCAAGGCCTTAATTATCTGAATCAGGGTTTTTACCAGAAGGCACATCTCAGATGTACTGTCCCTGCATGGGGTGCCTGGAAGGGGGGGGGGTCTGGGGAAAAAATACCCCTAACAGCAAAATAGAGTGAGATCTACTGTGAACTGTTAACAGAAGTTTGTCATATTTTAACCTTGGATCTCGTAGAATCTTCGCATGATTATTACTCTACAACATAATCAGAATGGGAAATTAATTCCTGTTGGCCACTTAAAGGTTAGACCAGTTACAGGGTCCAGCATTGAGTTTAAAAGCCCAGGATCTCTAATAGACAAAATAAGGGTGTCAGTGTGTTATGTCACCTTGCCTCAGCTGCCCCTGAATTGCAAATAGAAACACACTTGTTATGACTCTGTACTCTGTACATTGAATAATCCGGGATGGACACACAGCCTGCACCGTGGAGATGTCTGTAATGCTGACAGAGAGGTTCGCTCGTGGATGGAAGTTTCCAGACCGCAGACATTTGTTGTCTGTTCTTTGGAGCAGTTTGTTTATTTAGAGGCCGCATTTCGTTGAGTCTTGTTAACATGACAGTTTGAAGTATGAAATTGAAACAGAAATTGCTAATCTGGACTCGATACCTTTAAACTAGACCTGGGCAAAAGCTATTTTTACTGGCTTGTGTGGGAGAAAAAAACAGGTAAAGTATTACGTTCAAGTCTGTGAAGATGAACAGATTTTTTTGCCCAAAAACCTTCCTTTCAATAAATATTAGATATACAGGAAAATCTAACAAGTCTTATTATAGCTTTAATGGGGCATGAAAAGAATCACAGCCCCAACTCACACAGTGAAACTTGCATTTGGCCATCCATAGAAAATAATTGTCCAGTGCTTGCTTTAAACTGTATTTCTCGCCGTTTCATTGTTTAAGTACCGCAGTGATCTTCTGAATGTCAGTATAGCGAGATTATAGCTACGGTCAGAAGTCCGCCGCCCTTTTGCGATCGCTTCCCTACTTTTTCATCTGGAATAATTAGCCATGTGTGAGCCCGTTAGAACAGACACGTGGACCATCTGACCAGGCTCTCCGCGCCAAGCGCCACTTCCTGACAAGCCGCGGTCCTTGGCTTCCAGGTTCGGAGGGAGGGGAGACCTCAGGGGAACTTGCCAAGGTGGAACGTGCAGCTCTTTCTGGGGGTGTTAGTGCTACACAGGGCACGGCCGGGCATCGGGCTTGACTGAGGACAAAACGCAGGCGAGAACGGAGGGTTCTTACTTTTACATGGTACTGCATATATAAAGATGTAAAACAGACCTGAAGTTTAATATCATACTAGCGTTTAACAATGGTGTAATGGTTCTGAAACTGAGATACAAATGTTCATGACCTCCAGGTGCAGTTCCGGAAGATGGAACCGCGACATTTACCCCCCCCCCCCCTCCCCTCCCCCAAACCGCTGCTGCAGGTGCAGCCAGTTGAGCTCTCATTATGTTACTAATGTTACAAAACTCATTTTTTTTTTGTTTCACAATTAAAACTGTAACACATGTAAAAAAAAAACCAGAAATGTTATTACATTTAAAGTTAGGGCAAGCTTTATATTTTGTAAAGATGGTATATTACACCTGTTTTCTTGTCTTTCAATTGCATGTCATGTGACTGTTTTGGTCCAGTCATGATAGGGCCACAAGAATGATTCCTGGTCTTAGAGGAATGTCATACGAGGAAAGGTTAGTTGAGCTAAATCTGTTCAGCCTCAAGCAAAGGAGACTGAGGGGGGACATGATCCAGGTCTATAAGATTCTAACAGGTTTGGATGCTGTTCAACCGAATAGTTACTTCAGCATTAGTTCAAATACAAGAACTCGTGGCCATAGGTGGAAATTAGCGGGAGAACATTTCAAACTGGATTTAAGGAAGCACTTCTTTACACAGCGTGTAGTCAGAGTATGGAATAGTCTTCCTGATAATGTAGTGCAAGCTGAATCCTTGGGTTCCTTTAAATCAGAGCTAGATAAGATTTTAACAACTCTGAGCTATTAGTTAAGTTCTCCCCAAGTGAGCTCGATGGGCCGAATGGCCTCCTCTCGTTTGTATAGTTCTTATGTTCTTATGTAGTGATCACGCCTGCGGTAGAGGCTAGCTTAAGATGGATAATAACCAGTGATTAGCTAAACACTAATTAGCAGAACTAGCTTTTTTTTTGTTAGTGGATTAGTGTTTCCACTAACTTTGAAAACTGTTAGTAGACCAATTAACTTTCGCAGGATTTAGTTCCACTCACTGTAAATCCGCTAACACTTTTTTGCAGGTAAAGTGAATAAAGTTTAATGGTCAGAATCACGCACATTTGTTGTGGTCTATTGTGAGCGTGTCTGCAATGGTCTTTCGAGCGTACATTGTGTGTATTGTCCTGTTCAGTCTGTCATCTCCCTGTTTGGCCAGCAGATGGCGCTGGTCATCCCGTTTTCCTGATGTTTCCCTAGGTTGGCATTGTTCTGTTCTCTAGTGTGTTCCCCTGCTCCCTGGGCCGCCATGTGGCTGAATGGGCTAAGCATGTGGCTTAGAATTATGCATCCCTACTGTCATGGGTGTACTTTGTTGGACCCTTTAGTGATATTGTTTTCTCCATGTTAATTATGTTCTTGTGTTGGTCCTTGTTTTTTCCTCCTAGTATTTCAGTCCTTAGTGCTTATTAATTACTCTCACCTGTTCCCTGTAGCTCCTGTTCCCTGTAGCTCCTAGTCCCTTGTCTGTTATTACTAATGGCCCACATCTGTCCCTCGTCATGCCCTTATCTGTGTGTGTGTGTGTGTGTGTGTGTGTGTGTGGGTGTGTGTGTGTGTATATATATAAATATATTACCTGCAGGTAGGTCTGTCTGTTGTAAATTTTGGATGGTTTCTTGCTTGTGTTCCCAGCCCTAGTTAGTTCTTGTTTTGCCACCTGCCTGGGTTTTGACCCCTAATGGTTCCTTTTCCTGTTTGTTGTGTGTTTATTTATTTTTTAAACCCTTTGTTGTCACTTCACCGCACTGGGATTTTCCCTCCCATCATGCTGCACCATAATAAAAACTAACATTGTATTTCTATTTTATGTGCCTTTTAATTCCCTCTGAGCTGTTTACTACATTTGGCTATTTCTGTGATGAGCTGTACTAACTACTTCTCTTATTTTAAGTTCATGGTTATGCTGAGGAGCCCATTTCGATTCTGATGTTTGCATGTTTTCTTTATTTAGCAGACTGTTCTATCCCTGGATCAATAAGGAGTCAAGGGCTTTGCTCAAGAGCCCAACAGTGAAATCACTATGCTGATTCTGGGATTTGAACCAACTACATTCTGACCACAGGCATAGTAACCTAACCCACAGAGCCACACACCTTTGGTGACGGCAAACTTGGATCAGCATTGAGTCTGTGAATGGAACGGTCTTGCTGTGTTAATCAGGGATTGGCTGTTTCGGTGTTGTGGCTACGGGAGAGTGCTGTGTTAATCAGGGATTGGCTGTTTCGGTGTTGTGGCTACGGGAGAGCAGTACCATGGCACATTGTGGGGGAGGTTCTGCTTCCCTTGGCTCACTTCTACATGATGATAAAAGCACAAACAAAGCAGTTTTTTTTTTTCATCTTAATCAGCAGGCACAAAATATGGGGGTGACTCGTGGCAGAGGGAGATCATACAAGGGTATATTCTTTTGCTGTAACATCAATAGAAGACACACACTGGCTTTCAGTTTTCCTGTTTAGACCCGATCTTGAGTGTCAAGAAAGGCCATGTTTTCTATAAGCACAAAGTGTAACTTGACAAAGTTCAGCACGAACATTAAATCTCAGCCCAAACGAAGCCTGAGCTGTCTGTCCATGCTTCCACTTAAGTTGCTGTCCTCTGTGTGTGTTTAATCATCTCAGATATATCAGGTGGAGCCTGATGAGAAACAGGGTAACTACTCAGCTGAAAGTGAATACACTACAATTTAGCTATGTTAACTTTATCACAGATTGTAATAAAGCACAGGGCAGGTATTCCGTTGGGATTATGTGTGTATTATTGAAAAGTGAGGAAAAAATAAAATCAGTTCTTCAAATAAAAAAATATGATGAGGCCACTGAACCTATCCACCTATAAGGATCCTGGTAGCTGATTTTAAGGAAATGGATCTGGGTTGCGTCTTCCAATTGTGGTGTTTTGTGGCTTTTTAGAGCAATATAAATGGACCATACATGATGGGATCCATCGTGCTGCTGGTCCCGGGTGTGTGAGTCAGACCGCGGGCTGAACATGAGGCAAAGAAACTTACTCTTTTTCAGGGTATGTAAGCTGATTAAAATATGTGCTTTTTAGAATAAATAAATACACAGAAACAGTTTGACTGTGAAAGCCGGAAAAGTGCCGATGAAATGGCCAAGCTGGCACGGGAGCGGTCTGAATTCACAGCACCTAAAGCTTTTGGCCCAAGATGGTGCAAAGAAAGTTCCGTGCCGTTTATTGCACGTTCCAGCCGTGACTGCGGCGAATTTCCAACAGTGATGAAACAGGCTGGGGGGTGAATCTAACAGAAATAATGTCTTGGATAAGTACCTGGCTTCGCAGTCTGTGGTGTTATAATAGTGCATCCGTTATAAAAACAGTTTTACGGTTACGGGTTCTGAGAGTTTCTGTGCCCCTCTGCTGCTTTACAGACAGTGAAATGCATTAAAAAGGACTTTATACAGTGACACCTCAAGAAGACATGAGTTTTAAAAAGTGCTAAGATCTGCATTGTTAAAGCTCCACCACCGATGAGGCCTATTTCCACGCTTGACTGCAGATGAGGCATTAATTTATAAACTAAGAAAGAAACGCAGTCTTCAAATGGCGCGGGGCATCGCATAGATGCAGCCGAGTGACTACCATAGCTGCTGAAAGGAAACAGCACCGTTAAGTAAACTATAATTAATCAGGTCCAAATTCCTGTGTGACAGAGAGAATCGGAGAGGGGGGCTGCAAAACAGGGCCAGTCTTATTGGGGGATGCAGCTCAGAGAAATTAAGTAATAATCTTGGTGGATGAATTGTGGGAAAAATATATGCAGTGCCAGTGAAAAGTATGGACACTCACTGAAAACCATTTGTTTTTCAACAGTTGTATAAGTAGACCTGGTCCTCACAAGCCTCTGACCTGAACCCTGTAGAGCTGGATTGGGATGAGTTGAATTGATTCTAAGAGTAAGAGCAAGGTAACCAACTTGTGTCCAGAGGTTGTGGAAACTCCTTCAAGACTGCTGGAGAAGCCTTCCAGGTGGGATGGCCTGGAAGCAGGCTGAAAGAATGCCAAGAGCCTGCAATGCTGTCCTCGAAGTGAAAGGGGGCTATTTTGAAGAGTAAAATTTGAGAAAATTGAGATTTTGAACACTTCTCTTGTTGCAATTCTTACGTATTATTTCATTACCTCCAGGCCTTTTACTATAAGGTGAATGACAGATAAAATAGAGACAAATGCATTAAAAGCAGGTGTGCCCACATTTTTGACTGGTGCTGTCTGCTGCCATTTGATCAGTTTCATGATGCTGACGTCACCATTGGCCTGAGAGACGAACTCCTTGTTACTCATTCCTGGTTTACTTGTCTTTCTTCACTGATCCTTTCTCTGACGTAATCCTGTCCCTCGTTTCTTGCAGGAGCTCAAAGTTAAAATAATCAGATCCAAGAAAGATAAGAAACTCTTTTCTTCTGAAGATGACGAGCATTCTCTCCTGACGGGCGTCACTCCGTCGGAGGCCAGAGGGTATGACGTCATGCTTGCGTTCTGTACTGTCAAACTGGCTCACTGGGTAGATGGGCATTAGTGCATGTTCTGTATTACTGCCCTCCATCATTTTGGGAAATAATATCAACAGGAAAAAGTAGCAAGTAGAAAAACAGTCGCTTACTAATAATGTGAATAATGCGGCTTCCAGGCTGTTAATGGTCAGTATATACCAAACTTGTGTAACTTGCTATTCCCAGTTTTATTGATTCCCATTGGGTTAAACTAGCCAATGATTGATAGCACGTGTAAAGTAATTCCATCCACTCTGGGTTTGACGTCAGTCATTGGATGAACCGGGGCTCGATGTTCTTATTTTGTCTAAGCTAGCTAAACTAGCTTCTGTGCTAGCTACCCACGCCTTGCAGAGCGTCAGGCATGTTTCCAGAGAGATGTTCCGTGCCGCTAGAAGCAGCTTTTCCAGGTCATAACCCCATCCATAGAAACCACATGACATGTTCTCCTCGCGTGCCTGATGAACGGAATGAAATATTAGCCTCTGGTATGTTCCTGAAAAGACCCTTTATGATAAGATGGCACCGTTTACATGTGAATGATCCTCACCACCTGCTTCTATGCAGCGCCCCCCCTCCCACACATTCCTGACTCGGGGGAATGTGTGGAATATTGTTTCTGCCCTTGCATTTAGCTTTCTGAACGAGCTGTATTTGCTGGATGAAGACATGCACTTTCTTCAATGTACTGCAAGTGCTTGGGGAGGATGTAATCTTTAGTACTTAGATAATTGAATTATCGGGTGGATTCATGATCCGCGGGATAACCAGCTAGGTTGCTCTTCTGAATTTCACATGCTGATGTTTAATTGAAAACTGCATGCAGTGCAGTTCACCAGGGGTAGATCCACCCAACTGTCTGCATCGTCTGGAGGTGTTTGATGTTAAATATTGAGATGTAAACAAAGATGACGTGTTTCGGTAGATCTGCCAAGAAGAGCAAGGAGGAGGATAAGAGGACATATCTGGAAAAGGGCCAGTGTTTCTGGGACAGTGTCACCATGACCATGAAGCAGATCACACCCACAAAGAAAATGGGTAAGCTGGAAGGCTGGGAGCCACCGACTGTCGGCGAGATGACGCACGCGACGGAGGAGCACATGGCCGGGGACACTCTCATCCGCCATGACGAGGCCCTACCCTGGACGGACCTCGAAGGGGACTTATCCAAATACGCCAGCCTGTCGGGGCCACGTGGCCCTGGGCCACGATGGACCACCAAGGCCAAAGATAAACTGGCCAGTATTAGGAGGCGGAGCCTCTCTGAGAACTGGGAGGGGCTTAAGTAAAGGCAAGCCCACGGTCCTATGACAAAGCAGTACCTGTTTGTCCTGGACCAGCCTTTTGCTATTGCAAAATTAACACACCGCTTTGCAATAGCAGAAAGGTTTGTTGAACCTGGGCAACTATGACAAATGGGGCAAAAATAAAATGTCGGCACATTAAGCCTCATGAAGTGGAATAAGTTAATCTGGATGTCTGTGGCCTGTTAATGAGGGGTGCAGTGGAAATGGAGTGGAAAGCGAGAATAGGTGGAGTAGGAAAGATAAAAAGCCTTACAGCACCTACAAACTGACAGACTGACAAACAAAGATAAATGACCTTATGCAAGACACTTTTTAGAAGAATATAGCAACTTTGATATTTTAAACACCTTGTTTTTGTGTTTGAAAGGCTGGTTCACTGCCTGGATTAAGTTGCACGAGCCATATTTACTGAAATTGTGCTCGGAGTCTGTTGAATGTAACATTCAGACAATATGAACTACTGTCAACACAGACTGAATCTGTAACTTTAACTGTAAAATCCACAATTGTATATATTTTTGAAAAATGTTTTTTAAAATTACCTTATTTTAGGTTCTATCCGTAAGGTTGCTTGGCCAAATGGATGGTTTTATATTGCATGGAAAATGCAGAACGGACCAAACGTTTCCATCGCACTTCGCATTAAACGTTCCCCGCCAGTGTTTTTAATGCTGGCTTCTTGGATATATTGAGTTTCTCAGCGCTATTCACTTTTTACGTGAGAATTTCCTTTTGCATGTTCTCATCCCAGCCCTCTGGGTCGTGCCAGTAGACATTCTGGTATTATGGGTCTTCCTGTTACGCTCCATTCACCGAAGCATACAGGTTAATTTCTTGAAATCGATTGTTTTCTTGCCTTTTTTGCATACTGTTTGAATCAAAAGTTAGCTTACAGGAATCAGTCTATCCTGATTTTCATCCATGCACAGGTGCCTATTATTGTAGAGAACATGTAAAATGTTATTAAAATACACGCTTTGCTCAAATATCAGATCAAAATGCCTGCTTTATTACATTGTATTGTATAAATTCAAAGCAATCTGCCCATTTGTTTACGTGATACCCCTTCGCGTGTTCTCATTTAGTTCACAATTAATTATGAATTACATAAGTCATACCTAAATCTGAAATATTGCAAAAATGCACAATGCCACAAATCCTGGTGTATCTGACATCATTAATCTGCTGTATTTTATATTGCATTGTGTGATAAAATGTACATATTTAGTTTAATTAAGGTCATGCTGAAGTTGTCCTCTTTCAGCTGCTTCAGTTCTCTGTTCTGCCAGCAGCTGTAAAGACTGTGGATGAAGCATTTATGGTGGTGTCACAAATTGAATTTAACCTTCAGATATAGAAATACAGGTAAGTGCCCCCCACCCCTTTAAAACTGCAAACTACTGATGCATTTCAGGTTTAATTAAAGTTCATAGCAAAGAATCGTGCCAGTTGTCTTTCCTTACAGTTAAGTATCAGTTACTGGAATGATAAGGGAATATTACAAAAATTCAGTATACAAAAAGACGATTTTCATAAATAGTGCCGTTAATGCTGTTCCTCCTTCCTCCCCATAACAGGCGTGACAAAAGGAATAATAAAAAAATTCATTGTACGTTAAACTCAAATTTACATTTTTTTTTGTCGCTACCTTAGGTAATTGCACAGCACAGAAAAGGAACACAGATAAAACACGAACAGTAGACCTACTGGACATAAAGTGCATTCCAATAGAAATGGCAATAGACCCAACAATCTAACACGCACAAAACCGAACCACCCCAGGAAAAAACACAATTTTAAACGCAGAAAATCTGATTTTCTGTAAACATCAACAAATTTAGAAACCAGCCCAACTGTCTTCGGTATCCAACGGTAGCTCCGAGTCTCCGACGTCCCTGCCAAGTGCTAAATTCATTTGTGATCATTTATTAGGTTACAGGGGGGAGAAAAGGGAAAAAAAAAAAAAAGTGAAAACTGAAAACAAAACATTCTTATGGAGCCCTTAAAAAGAAATTGCACACAGAGCAGCGTGAAGACGGCGTCTCTGATCCTCTGGATAAAGGCTGGGAAAGTACTAGAACTTGAAGAGGTCGATGAAGTTCTGTGGAGACACCGATGTGAAGCAGCTGTCGGGATCGTTGGCTGTGCATGGATGTCCGGAGTCCTGCAGAAGGAGAGAGCTGTTCATGCCATCCGGAGTGACTCTGCCATCGAGCCCCCCAGCCCCGCAGACCCCAGAGAGACCCGCTACAGACACATCTCACACTGGCAGTAATAAGAATGTCACCTACCATTATCCCAACCTGTACAAATCCATATTATACCCAAGTATAAAATCACCAAACATTCAATTACTTAATTGTTCTGGATCTTGGATCCAGTGCAGCTACTGAAATTGCAACACAATTAAGTTTAACAATAATGAAGCTTATGGGGAACAAGATGAAAAGCAAAGTACAAATAGTCTTTTATATGTGCTACTAAAATCTTTAATAGCTGAATAAGGTCAAGAATACAACTCCCATTAATAGTTAATTATTATACTTATTAAATAAATCAATGTTTTGTTTTATAATGTAACAGAGGTGTCATCTGGGGGCATAGGCTAGCCATAGATAAATGAAGATATTGATGCTTAACTGATTTTTAATAACCTCTTGGGGACAAAGAATTTTTTTGTGAATTTTGTGAACAGACTGTTGAGGTGAGGCAGCTGGGGAAATTCCCTTACTCTACTACTTACAGGACATTTCCAGACACCCCCAGGAAGTGTCATATGTAAATCAATGCAAAAAAATGATATCTAACTAGTAAGATCAAAACAAAATCTGATTACACATAATGATGAGCATACATTTTGCACCTTCCCTCACACGACTTTCCCTTATGAAGAATTACCTCAAAACAGACTAGAAAATAATTCAGCTGCCCCCTATGTATTATACTGGTGAACTCCCATGGGTAACCATGGAGATCAGGAAGATGGCTGCAAGCCGACAGGGTTGTTTTTCACAACCGACCCATGCCATTCAGTAAGAGGAAAGACAACCATGTTCATGGATGACAGTGGCTGCTGGACCAATGAACGAAGGCCAGTGGTACCCCGTGTTACGGGGCCTGAAGGCCAGCGGTACCCCGTGTTACGGGGCCTGAAGGCCAGCGGTACCCCGTGTTACGGGGCCTGAAGGCCAGCGGTACCCCGTGTTACGGGGCCTGAAGGCCAGCGGTACCCCGTGTTACGGGGCCTGAAGGCCAGCGGTACTCCGTGTTACGGGGCCTTGCTTGCAGGCTCCGCCCACATGTCTACCATGTGACCTGCTTCCTAGTATGTTCTCTCTTAAAATGACCTTTCTTCCTTCACAGACAGTTCATAGCCTTGTGAAGGTTGAACTGCCCAAGGTAAACTGGGAATCTACCCCCGAATGTGAGCTTCCCTTACTGGAAGTGCTTACGCAGCCCAGCAAGCTGCCAAAACTAGATTCAAACATGCAGTCTTTTTAAATACAAAAAAATAGGACCTATGAAGGTTATATTTATGCAAAAGGTCTATAAATATCATAATACATTTCTGTCACACAAGTACAAAAGCCATGTGTCTGATTACCAACACAAAACACGGGCATAATTATAAGACAGCCTCGAGAAAAACAAAATAGCATGCAACACAGAAATACGTTCCGTGTGTGTTAGCGCAGAAGCGATCGCAGGTGAATGCATGCCGAACGAAAAACACATTTACTCATAACACAGAACGACCAAAAAGTATTTTTTCAACGATAAATGTAATTGACAAACAGTGATGATAGCTGACAAACGAGGCGAATGAAGTACCTTGAAGACTAAAGCCAGGTGGTAGTCCTTTAGAGATCGGAGAGGGAAGAGAAAGAGAGAGGAAATGTGCAGAGAATATTAAGGGTTTGAATAGAAAGGCCTTCCTAGTGTGGCCTATCCTTTGTCACGCACAGTACCCAGACTGTACATTAATCACTTTGGATACTTTAAGAGAAAAATATTAGGATAAGGGGTTAAAAAGGAACCCAAGTACCGTGTTACCGATTGGCCAGCATTAACCCCCCCGACTGATAGAAACCACCAGTTTTGAGATGAGGCCCAGCATGGTGATGAGAGACAGTACATTCAAGTCAGCCAGTCCCAGGATTAACACATTTCTTTGCGAGCCTCTATTTTTAAAGTCAAACCTAAAGAAGTGAAACAGAAGACAGAGGTGTCCCGTGTGTCCCCAATCTGAGGACAACTCTAAAGCAGGACACCGTCTTCCGGCTGAAGTTACAGATCAAACTCTGCAGCCATGACTGCGCTGAAATGACAACCAGCGCCTCAGTCGGAACGTTTTCATAGAAACCAGAGCTGGTAAAGCATCCCTCTCTGAACACAAGGTTGGAAAACATGAAGATGGTCATTTAGCTGCCAATTAACTAATGTAATACACCATAAAAACGTATGTATGTGTGTTTCCAACATAGAGTGGGTCATCGGTGTTAGCAAAGGCTAACACGGGACTTGACAAGACTCGATCCCAATACTAGTTTAAAACTGGATACCAGAAAGCCATCACTAAGGAATGTGGACAGTGTATCTAGAAACTTCCAGGGTGAAGAGCATGTGGGAAACACAGCGACGAGAAGGGGGGTTCAGATGGGGACTAGCAGGGAGAACACAATGTCCAGTAGGGGGTGGTATAAGCACGAAAGCCGGATAGCCAAAGCTGATGTGCTGGGTCATACTCAGTATCACTACATCCCAGTCAGCCAGACTTTTTGTTTTTGTTTGTTTATTTTGACTATGGGATGGCCAAAGGTACAGGTGAGACAGCTATATGCTCAGTTATGCCACATTCTGCCAACACCCCAGATGCCTAACGTCATACCTTTCATCACGGCACACTAACCACATGACATTGTGAAGTCTGCTTTCCAATCACAAATGACAGACTTACCTTCCAAAACAAAATGCCGCAATGTTTACAGAAATGCAGGGTGTCTCCGTAGACCTCCTTTTTGGGGTAGTACTTCTGCAGGGTGAAGTACATCAGCTTCCAGTCCACATGTCCCTTTTCCGACACAATTAAATGTCTACAGAACTGGAAAATGAAAGACACACAAGCTCCTTCAAACCGGCACCGAGCAGAAAACTACAAAATACAGACATATTCAAAACTACAGATTTTTAGAAATACAATTAGCTTAAGTATAAGTTACAGATATAGGCAGCAGGCCTTTCATTACACAGTCATGTTTAAATCCCAACAACAGTTAAACAATCATGCCATTCGCCATCTGTACAGAATTCCAGTGGCCCTCTAGTGGGTTTCTTGTGCATTGCAGCCTCAAACATAGCTGGCCTTCTGTGTTACACTGACCAGTGCAAAGCAAAGACATTTCTACGTTCTGGTTTCATTTTGAACTCTTCTATATTATATAATATGACACATGGGTTAAACCTTTAAAAAGGGAACCTCCCTTAATAAAAGATAACAGAAATACAGCAGGGACCAAGTATTCTTGCTAATATATTTTACCACTAAAGCCATATAATGAAGAAGGTGAATATCAAAATCCATAAGGCCAAGCGTGAGACAGTGAGCACCTGCTTCTCCGCGAAGTGAAACTGGCACAGCTTCTTCCAGAGCTGACGGTCCTCACTGAGCATGTGCAGTGTGGGCGTGGCCTGGCCCAGGTTGATGATGTCCCAGGCGTTGGAGAACTTGTACAGGATCCTGTTTTGCATGTGCAGCGGGAGGTCGCTGAGGGTCACATCGCCTGTTATTTGCTGGGGGAGATAAGGCGCGGGGACGGACACGCTTAGTCAGAGAGCCATGGGCCGACAGTGACCGACTGATCCATATCTCGGGCACGTAATGCCGTTACCCTGTAGTTACAGAGAACCACGTGCCAAGCCTTAGTTAATAACCTGAACACACACAAACTGCCTGAGAGATTCCCTTAAATGATTAATTGCAGACCCT